CATGAGTACATAATGTCTTTCATGTCTCCTATTTGAAAAAAGTGTTTACGAGTTCTTGATGAAGTGGTAGAAATTGAAAGACTCCCTCTCCAACCTGATCTTTCTTATATTTAGCATCCTATCAAAATCTTAGATGAAAAAGAGAGTTACTAGAAACAAAGTGGTGAAATTTTACAAAGTCTAGTGGAAAAACCATTCGAAGGATGAAGCAACTTGGGAACAAGAGGGTTATATTCTAGAGCATTATCCCCATCTTCTCCCCGAAGTATCGAGGTAATGGGTTAAGTAAAAGTTTATTTCTTATCCCTTTTCCCACACTAGGCACATACATGAAATCTTGTGACGAGATTTTGTTTAAGGGGGGAGAGTTGTAACACCCACGGTGTTATACCCTAAATTATTTACTAAAACATGTCATGAGCATCATGTTTATGTGTTAGAGCATGTGATAAAGTGTGAAGATCAATTTCTTGTAACCTAAAATGACTAATAAAAATGTTAAACGAAAGTTGATACAATATCTCATGTATATCAAGTAGGGTTTAAAACTATTTTTTATGGAACAAAAATGATATAGAACATATATGTGGCGCTTAAATAAAGATTGGAATATGAACTTTGTAGATGACAATAAAATACTTGTTGTAGAAAAATAACATTGGTAGCCAACATTTCTAATAGCCTAGAAATACAAATTGGAATCAAGTTTAGCTCAAAAGACTTAGAATATTTTCAAGTATGTTGACAGTTAGACAATGCCATGTTTAGCAATGTATTTTGTGAAATTGGGTTAAGAAAAGTTGTTATGTTTTAGCTCGGGTTGGTAGCCTCATATGCCATCTTGAGCATGGTGAAGATGGTTTAGGTCCAGAAGCAACCATTTAGTTTTTATAGGCGCTTTAAAATTCATGCACGATAAGATCTCGAGCTGGTCGGCCGTGTGGGCGCGGTCACCATGCTCGGGCGCTCGGTGTCGCCACGCTGGCTGTCCCATGCGCACGCGCGCTGCCTTACGTGGCCGGCCACTATTGCTCTCGCGCTGGCTATGGTCTGGTCGCTGGCTCCTGGCGCGCGGAACCGCTGCTGCTGCTTGCGTAGCTAGGCGGTGCTGCCGCCGGCCCTGCCGACCTGCCCCACGCCATGACGTAGCCACTGCCGGTGCTGTCGCCTTGCCGTCATGTCTGTGCCTCCCTCTTCATCTATACGCCGCTGCCGGCCCAGTGCGATGCCACCTCTGCCGCGCGTACGTGGCCGGGCTCACCGTCGCCTTGTCATTGATAGCACTACGGCACGTGGGCCACACTGGTCGTGAACGCGTGTGCATGTCTGCTAGCGCCTAGACGTGGGTCTCCACGGTCGCGCCAACCAAATTCAGCCAAGGCGCGCACACGCCGAGCCACCGATCGTACCCCACCGCTCTCTCTATTTCTCATCTCTTTGCTGCCGTCGAGCCGCGCCCACGTGCGAGCCAGAGAGCGGTCACCTCTACTCAATTCCATATGTCTACACCTTCGCCCTCTCGTCTTCTTGCTGCCTGACCCCACCCAGCCATGAAGAAGGCATTGCCAAGTTCCAATTTTGGAGTTTCCCCGTCGCCGTGTCGATAAGGCCGCGTCCGGCAGTGGATGTGGGTAGCCCTCCTACCGTCCCTCCTGAGCCAATTCACCTGCACCAATAGCTTCACCTTGCCTCCCTCACTACCTTGCGCATGCCAGTGGAACTGCTACCGTCTCCTCGTCATTGCTGACGTGACTAGGCTGCCGCATGACTCGGCCGCACATGGCCAGCCCTCTTCCGTCATCCTCCGTACCAATCATCACCTCGCCCTGGTCCATGGTAGCCTGCTAATGCTCACGCGCTAACCAATTAGGCATGTACCTACCCCAGCTCACCGAAACAGTGGCGCCGCCATCGCGGATGGCCACACGCTGCTACAACCTTCCCCAGCTAGTCGTGTCATCCCGCACCGCCGCTTAGCGTAGCCGCTCGGGTCAGAGATTGTGACCAACCCGTTAGGTGGTCTATCGTAGGTCCCTGGTGGCCGTTGCAGTCGCGCTGTGTCACCGGCCGCCGCGCCGCATTGCACTAGGTCGCCGGGGGTGTGCGCGGGGGAATTCCAGGAACGTCAGGGGGTTAAGTGAGAAGGTTTGAGAGAGGGGAAAATAGTGTTAGCACTTAGTTGTTATTCGGGAGAAGTTCAAGGTCTCTTTTACTAAATCGCCAGCGCGCGCGGGCTTTCCTTGGCGCGGGCCGTCTTCACGTGGGCCGACCTCGTGTGGGCCGCACCTGTGGGCCGTTGCGCGCGCGCTGTGTCGCATGGGCCGCGCGTGTGGGCCACGTGGGAGATTTCGTTTTTCTTTTCCTAAGAAATTAGAAATAGTTTTCTAATTTAATTTTTGAGCTGATCTTTGGTAAATCACATGAAATCGTGTAGGTGTCCAAAAATTGTGAAACAAATTTTGTTAGGTTTCTAAAATTATGTTCTATTTGTTAGTATATTTAGTTCATATATATACATGTTGATACCAGAAGCTATTAAATCATTTGAGAGTGTTCAATATTATTAGGTTAAATATTGTAGAAATTTTTGTGGTAAATTGGTGATAGTATTAGTTCTGAAATTTTTATGGTGGCTTCATTGTATTATTATGTGCTTACTGTAATTTTTGTAGCCTTAGAATAGACTAAACATTATGATAGTTAAATGCTCTTTGTTTTAATATACATTAAATCATTAGTAGAAATAAAGATATATCCTTAATTTATAAAGTTAGGTGTTTGTTAGTTGAACCCAACACTTTGCTTGGTAAAGATGATAGTTAGCTTAGTACCTAAGTCATTAGAGCTAGCTTAGTATGTGTATTCTTAGCTTAAGAGTTGTTGTTGCCTAAATGTTAAGTGTTGCATCATCATCGCATGCATGTAGAGAACGAATTGGTGGAGATCGTGACCACCGACGATCATGAATTCGAGGAGATCGTCGAGGAGTACGAGGAGAAAATTCTCGTGCAGGAGGAGGTCCCGGAGCCGCTACTAACTGACTCAGCTGACACCGCGCTGCCCAAGGCAAGCCTCGGTGCATAACCCTTATTTTTGATAATCACTGAATATATATATGTGATGTGCATTTACGTTATAGAAATTTTATGAAAACCACCTGCATAGATATAATTGTCCTATGAGTCCTACTAGTACATGTTCGAGTAACTGCTATGCTTAGGCTTTCGGTAGCGTGAGTAACCTGCCGTTACTCACGATAGGGGATTATTATTACTCTCGTAATAAAATGATGAAAAAAAATAAAGACAGGGCAGGGATATGGTATGGGTATTGGTGGGTGTAACAGGTTGTATCCCACGACAAACGGGGCTTAGCTTGGTTATACTGTTTTCGCTGTCCGTGTCGATTGAGGACCGTCCGTTGCTGTGGATGGTAGTCAGGTCACAGACTTATTATCCTGAACACATACTTGCTTATGAGAGCGGGAAGGCTCGTTACACTCTTGTCAAGGGTTCCGACTCTTTCCGGACCGACTGATTGGAGGTGGGGAAATGTGGAGGTCTAAGCACCATATTAAGATCGGGTCTCAAGTGTGGGGCTTGGAGTCTAAGTTTGGACGGGGACATGGACCCCGTGACATGACTGAAATGGGTTGGTCTTATTTGTGCCTGTGGTATAAATGGGGCGTGTGTTTCGGGGTACCCAGCTAGGATGCATTGATTCGCGAATCGTTATTTTCGTGAGACGGTACGACTTGATTATAGTCTAGCACCGTAGTAAGAACTAGAAGATGAAAGATGGTAAAATGGTCCTGATTGCTCAACCCTTGCTTGAAAGTAGAATATGTGCTTACCTAGAATGGTTAGCTAATGAAGTAATCATGGCTGCTAATAAAACTTGATTGTAATGATGAACTATTAGTAATGCTTTCCGCAAACAAAAAGAAAACAACAAACCCATATTGCCTATCATATCCTTGAGAGTCGGGAAACTATTTTCACTAGTCGGGTAAATCTTGCGAGTACATTGTGTACTCAGAGTTTATTTACTCCTGTTGCAGGTGCAACTTGAGGAGTAGCTTTTGTGTGGAGGATTCTTCTAGTGGGCACAGACGGATCCTTGTATCGTTTTCGCTAGATGTTTATTTTCATTCCGTTGTTTAATTATCGTACTCTGAACTCTGGTATTGTAATAAATAATTTTTAAAAACTGTTGTTGTATGAAATGGACTAAGTAGTGTAAGCTCGTACTCATTATTGATTCTGGATGTAAAACGTGGATTATTTCGAGTTCTTCCTTGGGTGTGCTCGACGGAACTGTCCGATGTAACCTATTTTCGAGATGCTTAGTGTCTAGTGGAAGACGAGCATCTTCAAAAACGTGTTATTTCGGATGGTTCTGCCACATCAGCTTACTGTTAGCTGCCAGTGAATCCAGCCAAGATTCACTCTGCAGTTCTGACAGTGCCCTACCGCTCTGTGATCCACCGATGATGCCTAGCTTGGTGAAAGTGCGGTGCCATTGTGCCAAACGGTGAGATGGTTCGGTTCCGAAGCGCTGTACGAAAAAGTACACTGCAAGAGAAACAGCAAACGCTACTCTGCGATGCAAATGACGTCACCGTACAGACTACAGAACCGGAGCATCCATCATCCATTGGTTTAATAATGGCCAAAATCGGAATTTTCTTGTCAGAAGAAACCATGGAAGACAAATTGCCGTCATTAACAAAGCAGGAAAACGCCCAAATCACTCAAAAGAATACAAGTTACAGTGTAACTAATCATATATTCCTGACAGTAAATACAGATGCACACCCAACTCTTTATTATTAACTTATACGACATATGGACAGCACATTGAGAAACTTTAATACATAATATGACTCTATCAGCACATTTTTTAATACAAAAATTTACACTGATCAAGACCCTGGAGTTACATTAGCAACGGCACAGGCATGAAGTTGAAACAGATTGGCATTGTCAAGCGGACTGCATTCATACTTCTTCACTTCCACTGCTACTGCTGCTTTTCCGAATGTTGTACTTGCACAGGGGGCATGTTGCATTGATGTGAAGCCACTTATCGATACAGGTGCAGTGGAAATGGTGCCCACAGGGGAGTTCGCGCAACTCTGCGCCATCATCGTACGCCGATAGGCAAATACAACACTCCTGGACAGATAAAGAGAGCATAGATTACATAAAACATTAATACACGCACAGTATATATTGAACAGAATGATTTGTGCATCTTTCTGCTCTAACATAGGTTAGCAGCACTGTAATAGATAGTTCATTGAAAACAAAACCAATTTAGTGGGATTGCATAAAAATGATGACAGAATATCAGTCTTTACATGTTAACACGGCAATTCCCAGAACATATATCAGTACAACAAATAAATGGTACAATACATTGGAATCTTTGTGATGTAGGCCAAATAAGGTTACACATGACCCGTGTAGTTATCAGAAATTCAGAACCAGCAGGTCCATCCACCAAAGACAGTAATTTTCAATGGAGACATGTCAATTAATCATGGCTCCACGCCACCCCACTCAATAGACTTATAGACAGCACACATCAGTCATTATGAATGAGAAATATAATGCACGCTTGTGAAAACTGAGTTCAAAAGATGTTCAGTGGTAGCAACTCAAGCATCAAGATGGAAAGCTATGTAACATCTATGTTAAAAAATCCAAGCATTAGAACTTACTGCATCTTCAGCTGCAAGCACTTTCTCAATAGGTTGATTGGTGCCACACTCTGTCATTATTCCACCAAAAGGACCCATGGGGTCAACATCTTGCTTTTCAGGCTCATCGGTCCTTGAAATTTGTATCTTGGGATTTGTGAATGTCATCTTCAGATGCTCCTTCCTGTATTCAGTGAGATTATGTAGAAGGTTATCTAATCAAGAATGACATGTCAACTTCACCATTTGAGTTATATATATGATACATTACACAAGACTTGAAAAGCTATACCTGATCAGATACTGCATAGAGAATTGCTATAATACAAGGGAGGCAACAACAGACAGCAATACCAATGATACAAGCCAGAGCAACGCAGAATACAACAAAAAACACATCAAATGCCAGAAAGACTATGCAAAGCCTGCAAAGTAAGTCATAGCGGAAAAATGCTTACGTTATAACAAATAAGATGAGAACACTATCCAAAAAATATTATTTATAAATTACAAAACATAGGTACCAGTAAAGTTGAGGTGCATCCCGGATAACCTCTTCACCCCCAGCAGATATCCAATAAAATCCAATTATCCACCATATGAAGGAGAACATTGTATTAGCAGACTCCAAGTGCTTTGCAATACTGCCAGATTAAACCAGTAATAACATCACCAGGTTAAAGAAATACCGAAGTTATTACATGTCCAAAAAGACCATTTGATGCAAAAGAAAGGGAACACAGGTGGATTTCAAGCTGCCATGAGAATAACAGTAGCTATCATGGAGCAAGGATGCGCATCAAGCATGATATATAGAAACCAGTTACTAGGATAAAGTATACAAGAGAGGCGCAAATGAGAAAACAGAAAGCCCCAGTTGACTATAATGTTTACAGCGACACATAATCGAGACAGCTCCTGTGTAATACATTCTTTTTGGAACAAAGAACAACCCTGATACCCGATGCCATTTATGTAGACAAAAAAAAAGCTACATTGTAGTGTGTCAGCAACTAGAACCAGCATATGTGGCAGTCATACTATAGAAGTATGATTTCTGTTCTGAGAAGCCAATAAAGCATGCTTCTCATTGTGGTATGAGATATAAGTATGCTCTTTTCATGACTAAGAAGCATGTTTATATTTAATATACACCAGCATGAGAAGCATGAATTATTGGGTATAATCATGAGTCATAACTAGAGAAATTTTAAAAATTTGATGGCCTGTGCTAAAGGATTGAAGCAAAGAAAGATAGGTATGAAGTTGGTCAAGATCACACATCATAAAAATAGCAATCAACTCCACATGACTGAAAGATGTCACTTACTACGTATCAAGCACTTGAGGCTGCTTTCATCATTTACTTGGCCTCTCCAAACAGAAATCATATAGGACGCATTGCATCTCTTAGCTTAGTATCTTCTACATTTTTTAATTTTTTCAGAACAGAAATCCAAAAAATGGAGTTCCTTAGTCCATTCAGTACAATTTCTTGACCATATTAAAATTAAAATCCATACCATATTAAAATTAAAATCCATACCAAATAGACGCCTAGGGATGCAAGCGGGGCTGTCTGTGAATCCACACATAGGCTTAATTTTTGTGGGTTCCACTTGCATCCCTAACTATGCCTCATAATTCTATGGAACAATGCAACACATCATTGATATGTAACAATAACTCAATAAGACAACAGTGTTGAGTCCTTGCTTTCGTTTTAGACTCAAAATTCAGGATAGAACTTACATACACATTTTTCAACTGTATAAAAGAATCTTGGGCCTCTTTAGTTCCCAGTATCCTGGCCTTGACTCATTACCTACTCACTACTCAGTGCCGAGTCATTGAGTCAAAATGCTCTACTTTATTACTGATTATTGATGTATCTTACAATCGTAGCACCATCCGAACGAGAAACAGCTGACTCAAACTGCAATAGAACCCAATTAAAAGAGAAGGCCAGGGTGAAACTTCTAGGCACATAATACTGAATTTCAATTCAATACTTTTATCTGCTTCGTTTATTTCAATACTTTTATCTGCTTCGTTTGCCCATGCATCAGGGATATTGCAATGTCCAGGTTGATCACAAATGCAATTGTCCAATTTACTCCATTCAGTTACGCTATAACTAAGATAAGCACACTGAATATTTCACTAGAAGCTACACTACCAACCGCCTGTATTGGTCCACTTAAGTTGGGATAAGAATAACACGCTACATGGATATTACCGTACATGTACTGTGCATAAACAGCTTTAGAGATCTTTCCGAGCAGATCCATCAAGTTACCTGGCGTAATCGGTGCGGCGACCATGGCGATCGAGCTCCCTGCCATCCTCATCACTGGAAGAGGACGATCCGTCGCTGCCCCTTTCCTCGTCAGCGGGCGCTGCGCCGGCGCCGCCGCGCTGGCCGTGGCGCATCCGGTACTCGATTGCGACGCAGACCATGTGTACGACGCACTGCAGGGCGTAGCCGGCAACCCAGGTCCGAAGCGGCATGGGCGAGTCCTCGTCGCGGCTTAACACGAGCACGACCGCGGCGACGGTGATGAAGGCGAGGTTCCAGAGCAGGTCGAGCGCCACGACGGGGCGGGAGTAGGCCCAGTCAGCCTGCCGCTCCTCGAGGTGCTCTGCGGCTGCCTCCCGCACCAGCACCGAGGGCTCCCGCATGGCCCGCCGCCCGCCGCGGCGCAGCAGCCGCGCCGCGCCGCGGAGGGAGGGCCGGCGGAGCGCTCCGCCTCGGCGACGGCTCCCGCCGCCGGAGGCACCGCCCAGCAGCGGCGCGGAATCGAGGGGCGCGTCGGCACGGGGGCTCGGGGAGCGGGGCGTCGCCATCGAGGGGAACCCCGTGAGAGATCAGAAGGAAATGGTCTCTTCTGCCGGAGAATGGAATTGGGACGGGTTCGGGGACTCTGGAGTCTTTTCTCTAGTTCTCTTTCTTTTCCTAATTTTATTTAATACAAAACTCAAAATTAGACCATTGCAAAAAAAAAAAGATAATTTAGGTTCTATTTGGAACCTAGGTCACGCAAGAATTTCACAAAAATCGGTTCAATTCTATAGAAGAAGAAAAATATAAAAATAAAAAATATCGTGTTCCAAACAGGATAATAGGTAGCGTCAGGGCGTTATGTGGCGTTTGATTGGAACGGAACACGGATGAGGTGGGACGAAACATGGTTGAAGTGGTGTATCCCACGTCGTTCCAGTGTACTCCCTCCGTCCTTCATTCAGAGGCGTATTGGCTTGGGAAAAGGTTTGTGAATTCACCGGCGCCTAAGCCGTTGGGTGCATCGGGAGCAAACACACGTCCTGTATTCTCACACGTAGTAATCCATGACGCCTCGCTTCGAAGATCAATTGCATGCATGCATGCATGCACGTTGCTCTCCTTCCCAATCGCACTTCCTATTTTATCCCTCCGCTTGCGTACTCAAATTACGAAGAGAAGAAGCACCATGGGCCATGGACGGCCTGAAACCTGGAAAAGGGCAGCCACCTCATTTGAAAAAGGGTTCGGCCACAAAACAAGTCAGCGGAAAAAGTTGTAGCCGAGAGGGAAAAACAAGTCAGCAGAATCATATTTGGCACAAAACAAACTGAATCTTTGAAAACTAGCGGCACTATTATTTCCATCATCCCACACAAAGTTGTAGCCGAGAGCATGTGCAGGCCCTTCCCACTCGCCGATGGCTTCCCAGTCAATTGGATTGTCCCAATCTAGGGGCGCCTCTTGGTTGAGATCAAAGCCTAATGGCACCATGGATTGGAGAGGTAGGGAGAGGAGAATTGACGAGAGAGAGAGAGCTGATTAGAACAGGTTGCAGGAGAGGGTATATATAGAACTGTGGAGGCTTCATGGGCGCGGCAACTGTGAAAATTTTAAACACCCTGAAACCTTAAGCGGGTGATTTGATTTCTTATGCATGGCGGTAATTTTCAACAGCAAAACTGAAACTCAAAATGCGGCAATTTTCAACTGCAAAACTAAAACTAAAAACGCGGGAGCGACGACGGCCTTGATCATGCAGGCGTTCGGCGTTGTACTGAGCGTTGAATGCTTTTGCATGCACCATGCAGGGAGTTACGGTCAGCGTGGGATACGAAGGGATTTTGCGGCGTTTGCGACTGGAGGTTACGGCAATTAAGTTCTCCTTGGTCTCGGTGAAAAATGCTACTACGCCTCTGAATGAAGGACGGAGGGAGTAATATTTGATTTGGGACACTTGAGACGCCCTAAAAAGAAATACCCTCAATTTTAAGAACAACCCTGTCAACAAAAATCGAAGTGACGACATCGTACTCTTCGGACGTTGTCTTTTTCATTTGCGTCTCTTTCCTTCTTTCCCGCGTCTGAGCTTTTTGGCGAGGGTGGGTAGCCGCAGCTTCAACATCGATAGGAACTTTGACGAGGTCAGAAGCACCAGCCGTGGGCAGACGGGGTCGAAGCCAAGAATGATGATGTGGGTGTAGTCAAAGCCATAAATGTAGGTGAGGTCGAGGCAAAGGCACTGGATAAAGAAGCGTCGAGCGGAGGTGGAGGCATGAGCCCAGATGCAGCCATACGGGAGGAAGGAAGAAGAAGATGGTCAGAGCAAGTATTATAAGCGCACGAAGAGCTGGCGAAATCCGACGTGGGAGAGAGAGAAAGCAGGAGAGAGAAGAAAGCGGGCGACTCGCGAGACGCCGGCAAAAAGCGGGCGAAATGCACTGTGGCTGCCGCTCCCCCACTCCAGTTCTTCCACGTCGCAGCGAAGCATTAAAGATCGGTGGGGTCCGCCACCACTGCTCGGCAGCTCGGGTGACCTGGAGCTTCTTGCAGCCGGCGAGTGGGGGTATCCATTAGCCTTGCTCTCATAAGATTGACCGTGTAGGTCCCATTTAAAAACTATTGTCTATATCTTTTCCTTCCCATTCCTCGCACAACGTACTGACATTTCTAACCCCTCAACCAGATAGTTCTATCCGGACACGGATTCGGTAACTTTGCTGAAGCAAGTCACGGCGTAACTTTTCCACATGCATCTACCGCCCAACAGAGATCCAAGGGCTCCCATGTTTGCATTCAAATCCAAGCATAGAATATTATATTGTTTACCTTTTTTTTTGAGCAAAATTAGTTTTTTTTACATGTGCAACCAGAAGCGGAAGCGCTCGTTGGGCTCCCGCGACGCAATGGCCTTTCCTGCGCTGCGTTCCAGACCCGACGATCGTGCCCCAGCGGCCCAGCCGGCCAGACGCGAAACAAAACCCTGGCGCCGCAGGCTCTCGCCAATTCCCCAATTTTCCCCTCCACAATCGCGCGGTTTTCCCCTCCAGGCTCCCGCGGCGCAAGCGCGCCCACCCAAGCGCCATGGCCGCCGCCCCCGCCGACGCCTACGACATCCCGTGGGTGGAGAAGTACCGCCCCACCCGCGTCGCTGACGTCGTCGGCAACTCCGATGCCGTCGCCCGCCTGGAGGTCATTGCCCGCGACGGCAACGTGCCCAACCTCATCCTCTCCGTAAGCGCCATTTCCTCGAACACCTTCCCCGCGCAGCACGGAACAGCCTCCCCCCTCTTTTTAACTTCCTTATTACGCGCAGGGGCCTCCGGGGACCGGGAAGACGACGAGCATCCTGGCGCTGGCGCACGAGCTTCTGGGGCCCAGCTACCGCGAGGCCGTGCTAGAGCTCAATGCCTCAGATGACAGGTTTCTGCCAGACTGCTACCTTGACGTGATTTTGTTTGGCGATTCGGGGCCGCCTTGAGTGGTGTTTGTGTTGGATGCCTGATGGTCGATTCGTGCTTTTGCAGGGGTTTGGACGTGGTGCGGAACAAGATCAAGATGTTTGCCCAGAAGAAGGTCACCCTGCAGCCAGGGCGGCACAAAATCGTGATCTTGGATGAGGCTGACAGGTAAGCCCATCTGCAGAGCGTTTCCACTATCAGTGTGTTATAGGTGCAGTGCTGTATTTACTGAAACAAGTTGTTTTTTTGCATGCTTTTTCTTATTTCACCATCGGTTGTTGTTTGGACTTGAGCCAAGAGCCCAAGACTAGTACTAGGAAATTAATTTCTTAGTTGTTGGTGAAATGGACAGATCCTGACTTCGTTATTTTGTGGAGTTTAAATGAAGTTTTAAAGTTTTGGGTCTATATCTATTTGCTCAAATGTGTGAATACAAACCCTGTTTTAGTATCGGAAGTATGTGTTTAAACCTCACTCATGCTGTGTGCAGCATGACATCAGGAGCACAGCAAGCTTTGCGAAGGACAATGGAGATCTATTCAAACACAACTAGATTTGCACTAGCATGCAACACCTCATCAAAGATAATTGAACCCATTCAAAGCCGATGTGCCATTGTCAGGTTCTCAAGGCTCTCTGACCAGGAGATCCTTGGCCGCCTCATGATTGTTGTGGAAGCTGAGAAGGTAATCTTTGGCACTGCTTAATGCCCAAATAAATCCATACTAGAACCCATGAGATCAACCTTTTTTTTTAAAAAAAAAATGGCCACTAATAAAGTACTTTGGTTTGCAACATGGAATATTAGTAGATCTATCAGAAAATACATTGTTAAACGTGTGAAATGGAGATGGTCCCAGTGCTGATTGAAAGCAAAAGAGAAGAGATACTGTAACTTCTTGAACTAAGAGCAGCCGCAGTGTGGTGCAAAACCGATGCTTGGTTCTTCTCTCTCCTACTTTAAGCATTGATTTTCCCATTGCAACTACCGATGCTCAGTTGGAAAAACCAGGCATTGAGGAAAGTATAGGCATTGGTGCTCGTCCGTATACAATATATATACCGAGATTGGATCCAGTTATTGTATTTTATTCATGGAAAGGTCTCCGTGTTTCCCTTGGCACCAATGCTGAACGTTGCGAGCGGAAACCAATTCAAGCATCGAGGATAAATTCTGTTGAAACGACGTTTGAAACATTGGTAACACTGCAGGTGCTCTAAGGGCTTACCTATGAATGTGATAGCCTTGGTTGCATTAGCTAGAAAAACAACTAATACTTTACCTCTTCAGTCAAATGTATAGGTTTGAAAAACATTTTATTGTTCGTGGCTGTAGTATCAATGTGAACTTTGATATAGCTTTATCACCTGTTGCGACTTAAGAGAGCTCCTTGATTGTGTCCTACGCATGTTTATGCCATGTCTGAACCCTAAAGATATGCCCAGTTCCTATCATATATTTGTATAGTTTCCCACATGTTATCTGCTGAATATCCTCCTATAATGACATCTATGGTCAATTTCTGAGTATCACTAAAGCTTACATAGGAGATGGCATTTGTACAAAAAAAACTTCAAGTGTAAAGGAGAGGGGGGAAGCATAAGAACTATCTATATATATTGTTATAAAAAAGCCTTTAAGAAATCATTTCATTGCAGTGTCAATTTTCAGAACTCAGAGTAAATTGCTGCAATTTAGAATTTGATTTTCAACATTAGCACAAAGCAATGCATGTGTGCATTTAATGGTTACTTGCCTACTCAATCAGCGTACCATTTTCTTTTTGTTCTTGTGAAATTCTGAGTTGATGGTTTTGCTACCCTCTGTACCCTAGTACCTAACCCCTTCGTTTCAGAACATAAGGTGTTTTAGTTTTGTCTTAGGTCAAGCTTCTTCAACTTTGCTCAAGTTTATAGAAAAATTCACCAACATCTACAACATCAAATTAGTTTCATTATGTCACCATTAAATGTCTTGATAGTGCATTTGTTTGGTCTTGTGTATGTTAATATATTATATAAACTTGGTCAAAGTTAGAGAACTTTGACTTAGGACAAACACCTTACATTTTGGAATGGAGTACTAATAACTGAATATGGTATTCGTTGGTCTTGTCGAAAGCTTTGCTGTTGATACGATATTTTATCTGGAAATACTACTGAATCCTAATGTTTTTTCAAATAAATTAGCCAGGAGGTGTGTTGTGATAGTTAAGTGTATGCTTCTGGCAGATACTAAACCTTGCATTCCTTGCAAAATTAGGGGAAAAAACTATCCATGATATGCACATTGTGATATCAGATGTATCGAAACTTCAAAATAAGCACAAACTCTTGTTTATAAAGAGACATAGATTTCAACTGTTGTTTGAGATGTTACTGTATTTAAAAACCATAAGTTGAAGTGTACCGTAACATATGCATCTGGAACGGTTGTGATCATGCCAAACTGTCAACCAGCAAATGGTCCTTTAACTTGTTAGAACCAAAACACAGGTTTGGGGCTGAATTTCAGATTTCATTAGCCATGCCACAACATTGGCAGGTTGGGGATACATATAGGATAGCTTGCTTGAGCCTTAAGAAAACTACAACATATTCTAGAGATGCTAAAGTAGATGCTAGGGATAAAGATAAGGGCTGACACAGCCACCAACTACTCTAGATAATTATCCTAAGTAGATAAGGACAAGACTTGTAGCTGTCATAACTAGATGGTCAAAACTCGAAACAAAGCAAAACTGGATGTGCTGAGTTATCATAATAAATCAACAGATTGGCCTGCTAGATTAATAAACTGTATAGTTCTACTTGATGTATGCAAGTTAAATACTTTATGATTTCCAGTTCAAACTCATTTGACTATGGATGCACCTAGAGGTTGGAGTAGATTCGGATAATCCAAAGTCTAACTGGACAGTGGTACTAATTGCTTTGGATACACATGGATAGGGTCTATTTAGATTTCATGTACATCATTTAGATCCAATAAATCCAAAATCCATTGGAGATTAACTCAAAAAGTTCAATGTCCATTGGATTTCTTTGGATTTGAGAGGGCGGGCCTGGTGCAAGCGGTAGAGTCTTACCGCCTGTGACCGGAAGGTCCCGGGTTCGAGTCGCGGTCTCCTCGCATTGCACAGGCGAGGGTAAGGCTTGCCACTGGCACCCTTCCCCAGACCCCGCACAGAGCGGGAGCTCTCCGCACTGGGTACGCCTTTTTTTTTTAGATGTAGACCAGCCTTCAATGTCTATCTTTGAGTTTATGATGTGGGTTCAATGTATATATCTAGTCACACCAATCTACACAAAGGAGCAGTCAATCATACTAAGTCATCCCAACAAATTTGAGCCAACTTTGCTAAATTTGAGGTGTGAACACGTAATTTTTAATTATAGGTTTGACTTTCGATGTGTGGCCCATGTACACGTACATATCTAGTCACACCAATCTGCATAAACTAGCAGTCAGTCGTACCAAGTCATCTCCAACAAATTTTAGTCAATAATTTTAAAGTGTGAACGCGTTTTTTTTAATTCTAAGGTCCAGCTTTTAACATAAGATCAACATGTAGTTATAGTAGTTTTGTTCTTATTGAATCATATTGATGGATTTGGACTTAAAAGCAATTGGATTATATTTTAGTCATTTTGTATTGTGGTAGGATTGGACTTGAATTTTTTTCCTTGGATTTTAATTTTATTGTCCATATGGATTTGGATCCTAATCCATTACCACGTCTGGGTACACCTGTCGCGGTTTGATTTATACTCTCTTTGGCTGAACATATAACACTTGAACAGTGAGACTCGGTTTTGTGATTTTGTCCCACTGTCCAGGGCCAGGTTCCAATTTAATTTCATTTATTTTGTTGTATAATCAGGTTCCTTATGTGCCAGAGGGGCTAGAAGCTATCATATTTACTGCTGATGGTGACATGAGACAAGCTTTGAACAACCTGCAAGCTACATTTAGTGGGTTCCGCTTTGTTAATCAAGAAAATGTGTTCAAGGTTGATACTCAATTTATCATTTTCTGCATGTTTAATGTGTGCTCGGTTAGTAGTGACACTGTAATGGTGCCAGGTGTGCGATCAACCACATCCCTTACATGTCAAGAACATGGTAAAAATGGTGCTTGATGGAAAGTTTGATGAGGCCTGCTCTGCACTGAAGCAACTTTATGATTTGGGATACTCTCCTACTGACATTATCACTACTCTCTTCCGTGTTGTGAAGAATTATGACATGGCTGAATATCTGAAGCTGGAAATGCTGAAGGTAACTTCATAACTTTGTAACTTTTCTTGAAGGAAATTAGTAAAATGTATCTGGATACTGCTATATGTTACAGCCTTCGGACTTACAGAGATGCAGTTGATTTCTCCTCCGTTGAACAAGCATATTCTGTTTATTTGCACAGGAAACAGGATTTGCACACATGAGAATCTGTGATGGTGTTGGATCATTTCTTCAGCTTTCTGGTCTACTTGCCAAGTTTGCGCTCGTGAGGGAAACTGCAAAAGCACCATGAACTCGTTGTGTTGCAGATGATAATAGCTTGTGTTAAGCTGTGCTAACACGGTAAGTTATTTCAGTTAATAGTGCTGTCATGCGTGGCTTAATGGCTAGACTAATGTATCTATGTAAGATAGTGCTTTCTGAAGAAACAACTATCATGTTTATCCAGTGTGTCAGACCTAGCTGTTGTGCGGCACCCATCCTTGCTCTTATAGATTGTTTTCTGTTGCCCCAAATGCCCGCCACGTTTGAAAGTGGATTGCCCTGTCTTGGTGTTTCTGGTACTAAGTATGTAGGCCATGAAACGGAGGATGATGGTATTAAGTATGTAGGCCATGAAAGGGAGGACGTTGGTATCAAGTATGTAGGCCATGAAAGGGAGGATGATGGAGATGGGAATACCAGAAACAATAGTATCTCCAATTATAGTTCCTTGGGACGTAAAATCTATATCTATTCACAATCCCCTTATAGCATACGAGACAGATGTGTGCATTTCGGAATTATTGGTACTGCAGCATGTATCCCATTAAGGACCCGTTTGGATGACTGTAGTTTTCAAAAGCTATGGTATCACAGCTATGGTTTTATAAGAGAGATACAAAATTGTGGTTAGAAGAAAAGAAGTCATGAGTGTAGTTCTTAAAATCTAAAAAGACTAGTTTAAACAAAACCATGATTTTAAAAACTAGAAGTTTGTTGTATCGAAACAGTAAGTTTTGAAAACAGAAGTACTTCATATAACCGTAGCATTTCTCTAATATTTGAAACATACTTGGCACCTAAATAGGGCTCATGCAGGCTATAATAGATTGACCAAGGGCTTGTTTGGATCGATTAAGGCTAAGTGTGAGCTGGTGCTAAAATTAGCTAGCTAAAAACAAATCAGCCAACTATTAGTCGATGGATGTTTGGATTCCAGGCTAACAGGTGCATACATCCCTAGCAATAGTGTTAGCCCTTGTTAGCTAGTGGTACTTTTTTTCGATAAAGGAAAATTTTATTAATTTTCAAGAACATTACATCGAGATAATACAAGGTCTTGAAAAATTCTTCCATCTCTGTGTTATTCAAGCTAGTGGTACTTAGTTGTGCTTGGCTAAGTGGCTAACAACTACCACCCTCTGCTATATTGTTTTGAGTTTTCTAGGTACATAGCTTTTGCCTTTTAATATGCACCTAGATATACGATATGTCTAGATACATAATAAAAGTTGTGTATCTAGAAAAACTAAAACAACCTATAAACTAAAACAGAGGGAGTAGTTAAGTGTTTGGCTAAAAATTAGTCCACCTATTAACACTCTTGTTTAGATGAATTTAGAGTTAATTTTTAGTTGCTAGTTGTAGCCCATGGAATCCACTGTTTGGCTCATCGTGTAGGCAATGCCTGCAGCCTGGTTGCCTATCTAGGTAGCTCATGCGACCGTTGATTTTGAGCGCCCAGGATCATTGGCAGGCTTATTGCCAAGTCCGTGTGCCCGGCGCCTACAAGCACGGTGAACAGTCCAAGCAGGATGGCGCCGTGTGCTTTTATATCTCCAGTCGCTATTTTGTGAGTGTTCTAACTACTTGGGCATTCAGTAAAACTGAACCGAGCGAATTAGGACTGGAAGAAAGTCGCAGGTAACTTGGGAAGTTGGGATCATACGCTGTTCTCCCAGAATGATAATTTCATTGGAAGTCACCGAAACCTGCAAAACTGACACCCAGTCAATTGTATCGATTTCCTCTATCAAAACAGGAAGCTTGTTTTGGACAACACGTCCATCATATACTGCTGCTACTCGTACTGTTCCATACAAAGATAAATCCATAGTGATCTGAGACTCTGAATCTCACGATACAATGCTGCATTTGTCAGATATTGACTGTATCATCACGGGGGCTCCTACATCTACCGTTACAAAAAGAGACCTGATACCAAAAACCATTAGCCAGCCAACAAAAAACATAGATGACTCCAGACTTCCTAAAACAACCAAAACCATGGGCCTAGGCATGTCCAAAATGCAAAACTTCACCCATAGCCGTTGAGAACAACGGGAGGGTGAGGCTGAGTCAATACCTGAACCACCACCATTGCTGTGTGCTACGGGCCAAGCCCCATCGACCCGTACCACCTAGCAAAGGTCACGCGGTTCGTTCTTGACTCAGGCTCATTAACAGCTGTTACCTCCATGCCTAAAGTTTCCTGTTCCCAAGTTCAAACGTCGCAGTGAAGTGCCGCCCTGATCTTCTCGATGGTACAAGAGATGAGGTTGTACGCGGTGTCCACTGACTCCACCGTGAGCTTTGCCGTGGGCTGGCTGTTCACAAGGATCTGGAATGCAACCGTGAGCAGCGATCCACATGTCTTGTGCCCAACCCCACCGGCGCTAGAGCTAGACCCATCAGGCAGAATGACGAAACCAGATTGCAAGAGTGCCACATTCGTCGAGTCCCCTCCACCAATCACAAGCTGCATTGCCGGGAAGTCCACTGGGGCATACACGACCATTGCACCAGATCTGTCAGTGCACCTCTCTTGTAGAATCAAGATGCTGTTCAGGTGGGAGTTTGTATGCTGTAAACATAATGCAAACCATTAAGGTTAAGGATTATACAATCAATGGAAACAGGAAGAGCAGACCACATTCTACTGTACTTTAAGGATATCGACAGCTCAAAACATGAAAACTGAGAAAATCACTGAAGCTTTTAGACCTTTGTAATGCAGGATGGGTCTGCTTGGGTGCTAACACTTTCTAAGAAACAGAGTAGTCAGTTACTGGCCTACTAATTATACCTTCTTGAGTAGGTTTGTACTTTTTTTTCTTGGCGTAGTATTTATCTTCCATTGGTGCTACAAGATGGCTAGTTATGAGCATTTCTCCAGAGCCTTAAGTTTCAACATCCTCAGCACTTGGCACTTCTACATTTGACCGATGACATACATAGTCATTGAAAAACTTACGGACAAGCACAAGCATGAAGAACATAGGTGGGATCAGGAAGTATATGTGGCAGGAAATACTCACATCAGCTCTCAGTAGAGTTACAGAGTTGCCATCCAGTTGCCCCTTGGTAATGCGTAACATCTGCTGCATAGGGCCACCATTGCTGAGGAGCTCATCATCGCGAAGAAAGTTGAAGAGCAGCAGCAGCAGGAGCGCCTAGGCTGCTGGTAGTGGCAGGCTTCCCCTTTTCTACTCCCGAAAAGGTTCACCTGACAGGAGTAGCTGGTTCTCTCTCCTCTAGCCAAGTAGGAGCATGCGAGCACTAGTGACTTGTGAGCTGTGAGTGATCGATTCAAAATACTTTTTTTTGTTTGTCAAGAAGTCAAAAAAATTAATTAGGCTGAACTATATCTTATATAAAATATTAACATTTATGATACCAAATATTTATCATTATATATTTTCACAGGAAATCTATTTTAAAATATAAATGTTATTTCTACTTATACAATTTAGTTAAATTTAAGATAATTTAAATCGGTTTAAATCTAGAATTATATTCTTTTTAGACCGAGGAACTGAGGAAGTAACTTTTAGGAAAAAAAACTAAACAGCACTGTATATATATTATAGGAAAAAAGCGTCAAAGAGACGAGACGACGATGTGGTCATGACGGATCTGCAGCTTAAACACCAGGTAAGCTGCCAGGTGTAGAAGGGGAGTCAACGTGAAAGCAAACAGCCAAGAGTCAAGAGCAGTGCGCAGTCCAGTCCAGTCCAGTCCAGTCCAGGAGAAGAATGTGGGGGGCGGGCGGGCGGGCGGGCGGTGTGTGTGCCTGTGTGGACGCACGGACGGGGGACGTGCCGCCGTGCCGGTCAAAGGGGCGGGGGTTTTTGGTTCGCTTGCGCTTGCATGGCACTCGCGCTTGGCATGTGGTCAGGCTGGGTGGTTGGCCACTGGCCCGGCAGGCACGGGCTACGCGCGGCGGACGCGATCCCGTCCCCGCCCCGGCGGCTTCGTGCTCTGGGCTTCCGCCGCCTGCTGCTGCGTACCCGCCGCGTCCGGCCCCGGCTTTGGGCCCGTCCTTCTCCTTCCTCGCCCGCCGCGCGGCTCGGCAGTCGGTCGGCCAGGTCCTTGTTTGTTTGTGCGCGGCGGGGACACAGCGGAGTCAAACCGGAAAGGGCGCGGCAGCGCGAGTCGGTTCGGGTTGGCAGGTGCAGGCCCAGAATTCGACGGGTGTCGCTGTAGCAGTGTAGGTGCCGTGGTGGACTGTGCATGTGACCGACCGTGCGAGAGCCGAGCCGCGAGCGTGACCGCCCGGACGTGGGGTCACGTGCCCGGCGTGGGACGTGTAGCAAGGCTAATGATCTAGGCCCGTTCGCTCGACCTTATCGCCCGAATCGGTCCTATTTTTTACTATAAAAATAATATTTTTTTCTCACAATAAATTAACTGTAGCAGCAATAAGTCCTGCCGAATAGGACCTTAGCCGTCAGCCGGCTGTATACTGAGGCCTTGTTTAGTTCATCTCCAAAAGTTTACACCCTATCAATCAAATATTTTGACACATGCATAAAGTATTAAATATAGACTAAAAAAATTAATTGCACAGATTGTGGTGCCGTTCGGCTGACAAGAAGCCGGCTTGTTCGGCTTTTTTTTTCAGCCGGAACAGTATTTTTCTCTCAGAACATTTTCAGACGGAACAGTGTTTTTCAGCATAAACAGTGCATTTTTCATACCAGCCGAACGGGGCCCTTGGCTACTTTACGAGACGAATCTTTTAAGCCTAATAAGTCTATGATTTGACAATATAGTACTATAGTAACACATATGCTAATAGCAGATTATTACCCTGTTCGCTTGTTTATTTCAGCCAGCCCAAACCAGTCAGCCAATAGTGTTTTTCTCTCACAATAAACCAGCACCAGCCATCTCAAACCAGCCCAGAAACCAACCAGCGAACTGACCCTATTTAGGTTTAATAAATTCATATCATGATTTTTTTTTAATTAGTAACACAACACTTCATGAGACACGCATGTAACCCTCGGCGTGACGTCCAAAACTTTATAGACTTATTTAAACCAGCCTTCACGCCAGGTCACTTGTAGCCAGAACTACCAGACACACGTAATGGACTAGCTATCTAGATCGACTGTAAGGTATTTTTAAGTATTTATTGTTTGTATGCCCGGCGTATGGGATCAGGAGAGAAGTAGACGAAGGCTGGCTGCGGACTTCTTTTGTCTCGGTACGAGTACCTGCGTTTTAGCCCGGCGAAGAACCAAGCGCCCGCCCAACTCTCTCTCTCTCTCTCTCCTTTTCTCTCTCCGCCAGCTCAGACTTTTATGACGTGGACAGGCATTCAGCCGGCTGAGTAAGCATTACTGTACTTGCTATAAGGCTAGTTTCGGTGATGGGTTTTATTTGGCTGTTTTCAAGACTGTCATGTTAGCTTTGCAGACTTGAATTGATAAATGAAACTGGCTCTCTCAGTGAAGGTTTTATTTCATTGTTTACAAGATAAGCTGCAACAATTAATGTATGCACGATATTATGATCTTATGTGCCATATAAACTATGTAGCCATTTGAAAATATATCGAAATTAAATATAGTCACTTTGTTAACTACAATATATCGCATGTAGACAAATAATCATATAAAATAAAAATATATTAATTAATCCAATATTCATGAGTGTATAAGCATTTACTAAAATGATTACATATATCTAAAGAGATTATATTTCGTACAAAACCCAATTTATATTTCGACGACGTCTGAACAAGTTCCAAATATGTTCCACTAAATATTACTTCAGCCGACGTACATGCAAGCTTTCACACTGCATGCAATCTAGAAGTATCAGGTTCATTCGCGACAGGGGATCGAGAAAAAGGGTACGCGACAGGGGATCGAGAAAACTTTCTGCATGCAAGCTGAGCAAGCATGTACGTACATGCGAGTTTCTTCGGGGGTGTTTAATACCTAAAATCCAAACTTTGTCACTATGTAAAAAGAAGATTTTCTGTCATATCAAATTTACGGTACATGCATGGAATACTAAATGTTGACGAAATCAAAAACTTTTTGCATAGTTTAGTTATACTTTACGAGACGAACGTTTTGAGTCTAATTAATCAATTATTGAACAATTATTACTAAATACAAACGAAATACTACGTTACGCTACATGACGGAACTGGGCCGGTGACATCCCACGGGCCATGGTGCCGCCATGGAGGCGCGTGCGTCGTACACCTCGCAGTCGGCAGCACAGGACGGCGTTGGCATTCGCATGGGCGCGCGGCGCCTGGCTGGAGGCTGGCTGGCTGGCTGCTACTATTGCCTCCGTGATCGAGCTCTACTGTCTTCTGTCATAGCCAAGCTTGCCCCTGGCCGTCCTGGCGTCTATAGACTGCCTTCTTCCCCGACACCATTCCCTACTCTACCTATTGGACTATTGGTACAGTACTACTCTCTTTTTTTTTGAAAGAGTGGTACAGTACTACTTTACCCCAGTAAAATATAAACTTCAGGTTCTTCAGATACAAATATCTAAACATGGAGTTACTTCATATTCTAACTAAATATTTTATCAAGGACTACAAATATCTGAATTTAACATAAGATTAACACAACCAACGAACTGACTCAATTAGTTAGGTTTCTTCTGATGATGGGAGCAGTTAATCTGAGTTCAAGTCTTCGATTTAATGCATGTGTATGCATTTTCCTCGAGTGTCCGCTTCTATGCTTCAACTCAAAAAAAATCATAAACACAACTAAAACCAAAACAAAACATTTTATACCACATATCTCTCTTCAGTTTTTAATAAGATAGTGGTGTGCACTCTTTAATAAATAAAAACCTGGTTGAGTTCAACTAATCCAGAACAGTATCATCCAAATGGCAATCTTACTAAGGATGAAACCAACGGAGAAACCACCTACTAGTTTCTACGGTATACCACAAGATACCGTGGCCCCGTTCGCTTTGCTGAAAAAACAAGCCAAAACACTGTTCCGGCGGATGTCTTGTGAGAGAAAAATACTATTCCGGCTGAAAAAACAAGCTGAAAAAGACGGATTATAAAGAAGCAAACATGACTCATATCTAAAACCATCTTACCCAACACAATATTTTTAGTAGTGGCCCAAACAAAAACTCAGTCAATCATTCACCTCACATCATTTCTTCCCCGTGTACTCCTCTCTCATCCCCTCGTCCTCTCACACCTTAAGCCTTGTTTGGATGTTGTCGGATTCACCTCAATCCACATGTATCGGGATGGAATTTAGTGCGAGTTCTAAACTCTAAACTCCAATACATATGGATTGATGCGAATCCAACTACATCCAAACAAGGCCTTAATAATGAGGCACTGTGATGTGCGTCTACTTGCAGGGATGGCAGTGTGCGGTGTGAATTTTGGATCGGGGCGCCGCAATTTTTAGGTCCAACGGTGATGTGTTTGATCCCCCCACCCACACATATTTGCAGGTTGGGGGGAAGCGGCGATTTGGTGCAATGCGAATTTTGGATTTAACTCGCTGATTTGAAACTGAAGTACTTCATGAAGTGTTGCCAAAAATTTGAAACATGTTGAAGTGTAAGGATTTTGTATGAATTTCTAGGAAATAATGTTACAGAGGAACAAAATTTTGTAAAAAAAACTTTGGACCAAGTCAATCCTAGTACTAGTGTATGATCTACTATACATTTTGTTTATAATAGGAGGAATCCTACGTAATTTTCAGAAGGATATTGAAATCAGTTCATAGGGCATGATATGGCATAGTACAGTTCTAAATTATATTTTGACACTCATTTTTTATACCATATTATTTATAATTGTAAAGTTATAATTATTGGATAATACATTTAAATACAAATTTGATTGTATTGTAAAAGTTAAAAGTTATTAGTCAAATTGTTGATCAAATATTACAAAAATTGACTCTTTATATCCGCAAAATATCTTATAAAGTGGATCGGATAGGAGGGAGTAAAATTTCTTTGCCGTCATCGCAGTAGCACCAATAGGTAAAAGGTAACAGAGGAGGAGCAAGCAATAGGCAAGATTGCAAGAACAAGCAGTACAGTACAGCAAGTGCAGTGCTTCTTCTTTCGGTGAACAGTCCATTTTCTTGATTGACTTGCCCCTCATTTTCTCAGTTCGAACAGCCCCTCATTTTCTCAGTTCGAACAGTACAGCGATCGAACAGTGATCGTTTGTCCGGTTATGCTATGCGCCACCCAAACTCGTTAATTAATAATATTTTTTTCTCATAACACACCAGTATCAATCAGCCCAAACTGACCCAGAAACAAAACAACGAACAGGGCTGACAGGAACTGCGCGCTCCCTCCTGCTCTTTTCACGGAGGTCGCTCTCCATTCACAGTTCGGTCCTTTGCTCGCCGACGACGACCTTTTCACCCTCCTGTCAACGAGATACCGGGCCTGCCAGACACCTGTTCCGAGCGCAGGTCCCGTTCGGCACGGCGAAGACTGGACCGGAAGGCAATCCAAATCTTCGGCTGATCCAGTGTGTACACGGAGGCACTGTGGTGTGCTCAGCTGGTCCGCGATGGTGCGATGTGGTAGTTCAGCACGACAGGGACCAGTGCTTCGTCGAGCAAGGGTTTACTCACAAAGTTCCATTCCAAAAAACACCATTGGCGAGCTTGACGAACCGTGGGAAAGCGTACTGCTTGAAATTCTACATGCAAAGGACGGGACAATCCAAGCAACACATGGACGGCGGAAAGCTTCGTTTGGACTGAGATCCTCAGGATAACGGTTTGTTGGTTTTCCACAGGGGTGTTTGTGTGCACAAGTCTCTACAGGGCTGCTGAGCTTCCAGAAGAAACAATAATGACATGTAAGATCAACGATCATCACTTGCACTGATCGAGACAAATGGAGCCTAAGGTGGTGTAGGTAGTTAGGTACTCCGGCCGGCATGCAGGCGGCAGGCTATCATGGCACGGGAGTTTCATTTGGGGGGCGCCCTCGCCTCCGAGAAACTCCATCGGGCCTTTACCTCTCCTCCGTCAGCTGCTAGTACGAGTAGTACTCAGGAGCGCCGTGCCTGCGCGTGGGCGTGGCCGCGTGGCTATTGGATCCGCTCCACTCCGGCCAGCGCTCTCCGGAAGATTAGGCGAAGGCAGGGCGGCCTAGGGCTACTACTACTAGCTGGAAGGGGCGAAGGGCTCGGTTGGCCGGCTAGCGACGCGCAGCCGATCGGCACGGTAGGCTGCGGTGGCCGCGCTCGCTGATGCTTTTTCCGCCAGACGCCAGTGGGGCGTGGGAAGCGCGCGAGCCGCGAGGGCCTCGACGTGCGCCTGGCGGCCTGGCCTGACGTTCGGCGGCGCTGTATTCCCGAATCCCGATATGTAGCAGCAGGCCAGCAGCAGCCGGCACGGGCGCTTGGGGCACGCCGTGATGCTCGCAGCACGGCACGGGATCGGGTCGGACGCGCACGCCGGCCGCTCGGCAAGCCCGTTGGTTCAGAGAGAAGCCGAAGCTGATCGGAGAGCGCACTGGCGCCACTCGCCAGAGGCGTTGCTAGAAGAAGAAAGGGGACAGTTTTGTGATGGTAGAGAACTGGCCCATACGCAAATCGTCATCATGGCCAGCAAGGCTTAGGCCCAAATATATTTCCTTTTGAGTAACTCTGCTTAGATTTTGATGGACCGGTCCATACTGCCCCAGTCATGTACCCGGTTCGCATTGTACGAGACTAAACTGGTAGTTTCAGGTAGTGGCCGAAAACACTACTAAGAAGAAACTCTCTATGAAGCAATTTGCATTGGTAATGCTAGTGTTGCAAGAACAACGAAATATTCTTGAGTTCTAAACAATATTTTGGATGCCATGTACCAAGATGGTTGTCAGTTTGGCCTGTAAAGGAATGAGATACTAATATGAAAACAAATGGCAATTTGTAAGGAGATGGCTTAGTATGAGAGTACTAATTTGTTGTTCTTTTTTTTTTTTTTTGCACATACTATACAAAGAGAGAATATATTCCTTCTATACTGGCATCTTGACTTAGCTGCCTAAGCTTCTCTCTTCTTGTCTGGGCAATGGCGCTGCAACAGATCAGCTTGCCGCACGTTGCACCTTGAGCCCAGGACTATCTTCTACTACGATTGCTGGTGCCTTGCAGCCAACCGGGTCCAGAATCCGAGGTGTAAAGGCTTCAACACTTCTCTGTTTTTGTCGCCTAGACAACTTGGGGCCAGTTTAGTTTCACTTCATTTTGCAAAAATTTCAAGATTTCCGTCACATCGAATCTTTTGACGCATGTAAGTATGAAGCATTAAATATAAATAAAAATAAAACTAATTACACAGTTTAGACGAAATCTCACGATACAAATCTTTTAAGCCTAATTAGATTATGATTGGACACTAATTGCCAAATAACAACGAAAATGCTACCGTATCATTTCGCTAAAAATTTTGCAAACCAAACATGCCCTTGGAAGCACCACAACTGTTGTATTTTTTATAGCTTCTGGTCTTTGTCACTATGGTCCTGCGAGATGCTCGTGGTTGTTCTCTCTTGTCTCACATGTAACAAAAAACTAACTGGGGCTGGCGATGGGCTTGTATTTGATCTTTTATCTCTGAGTATGAAGAGGCGGAGCTCTCATATTCATTAAATAGCTTTGCTGCCTAAGATTAAGGTAATTGATTTCTCTCGTGTATGCCTCTTCTGGAAATAAGCCCATTGAATAGGGGAGCCATTTGTTCTTAACTTGAAATCTCAAATTTGTTTTGTTACCAAGTTGTTTTGTATTGTGATGTTAAGAAGTAGGAGTTCCTCTCGAAATATTTTCTACTCTTGTAGCCTATGAGTCCTGGTGCTATTTATAATGCTTTTCTTCTGGGTTTACAGCAACTAATGTGATGAGTTTTACACCATTTATGAGTGTTTGTTAAGCAGGATCACGGGCCGATCTAACCACCAGTGCCCTCTATTTTTTGCTGCTTGTGAAACGACAGATGTCTGCAGAGCTCCTATATTCATAAATTGTATGATGAATTGCCAAATTATTAGTCATTGAAAATGACGGCAATCCATGTTAATCTTTGCAGACAATATTGATAATACCATGGTTAATCCAGTAGTTCTAGTTTTTATTTAAAGCCATCTTCATGCAGGAAAAATAGATATAATGTTTATCTTTGTATTTGTAG